AGGTCCACTGGCAAAGCAAAAAAAAAAAAAAAAAAAAAAAAAAAGCCAAGTGCTGCTGGAGGAGTGAAATATGTCAGGACGCGGGACAAACACCTAAATATCGGGACAGTCCTTATTTTATCGGTACGTCTGGTCACTCCATCTGAAGTCAGCAAGATATTACTCTGTTACTCTGGATTGCACACCTGACATCAGCTATACGGAACAAATGACTTTAATGGTGCATTTTGTAACAAAAACAGAACCTAGTGAAAATGTGCCTGTAATGGTGACTGTCAGAGATCGTTTTCTAGAATTTGTTGACCTTGATGATACTACAGGAGCTGGTATGACAAATGTGCTTCATTGCGATAGCTGACATGAGGTCAGATAATGGTGTCAACCTGAGAGGAAAGAACAGAGGGAGTGCAGACATGGATCCGAGAGTTAAACCCTCGGGCTTTTTTTGTCCCATTCAGTTCTCATTCATTGAATTTGGTGGTCAGTGATGCAGCGTCAGCTTCCAGTGAGGCTGCTGAATTTTTTAATGTAATTCAAAGCATCTATGTATTTTTCTCTGCATCAACTCATTGATGGCAAATTTTGAAGCAACATCTGGGAACATCCTCTCTGACACTGAAACCACTGAGTGCCACATGATGGGAAAGTTGAGTGGAGGTGATAAAGCCTATAAAACACCAAATTGGGAAGATAGATGATGCCATTATGGTGGATAATGCTATGAGAGGAACTGTTCATGGGAGAACTGTGGCAGAGGGAAATGGAATCACCAGAAATATACATAACTTCAAATTTTGGTGTGGCTTAGTGTTGTGGCATGACATACTGTTTGAAATAAATGTTGTAAGCAAGAGACTCCAAGGTGTTGACCTTGATATATCTGGAGCAATGGAACAACTGGACAAAGCAAAGTCATACCTGCAGTCTTACCGGTCAGATGAGGGATTTCAAAACGTTCTGAAGAGTGCACAGAAGTTGGCAGAGGAACTTCACACTGAAGCTATTTTCCCACCCATTCAAGAATACAAGAGTCACCGAAGAAGACGACATTTTGATTACAAGGCATGGGATAATCCCATAAGAGACCCCAAACAACAATTCAAAGTTGAATTCTTTAACCAGGTGCTAGATTGTGCAATACAGTCAGTTGAAGAATGTTTCATGCAGCTCAGGGAACACTGCAGTATATTTGTTGTATGATATTCCAAAACTCCTCACTATACCTGAAGAAGACCTACACCAGCAATGCAGGGCACTAGAGACAGTGTTGACACATGATGACATGCGCGATATTGATGCGAGTGATTTAGGGGATGAACTGAAAGCCCTTTCAAGATACATTTCAGCAGGATCAACTCCAAAGGCTGTTCTGGAATATATGTGCACAAATAAGATGACCACCCTGTTTCCAAATGCTTTTGTTGCTCTCCGCATACTTATAACACTTCCTGTTGCCAGTGGAGAGCGCAGCTTCTCCAAACTGAAGTTAATAAAAACACATCTATGCTCCACAATGACACAGGAGAGGCTGGTCAGCCTTGCAACCATCTCAATAGAGCATGAGCTGGCCCAGACTATGGACCTTGAGCAGGAAGCAGTTCAAATCTTTGCAACCAAGAATACACGGAAAGCACCACTTTGAATAATCAAACAGATAAAAATGCCAGTGTTTACTATGCAGAGAAGAAAAGTTACATTTGCTGTTCAGGTGTTTGAAAGTTAAGTGTTACTTAAAATTTTTGAACAAGGTATTTTAAGTTAGTTCTCCTTTATTGGTAGATATCAGAGTAGTACCATGAGAGGAGTAGAACAGGAAGAAGGCAGAACTGAGACCTTTCAAAGTTTTGGCCCAAGCAAGGGGGCATGGGGGTGTCATTTGAGCTCCCCGCCTCAGGTGCCAAAATGTTGTGGGCTGTCCCTGAGGGCAGGGGTAGGAGGAGACAGGTCCAAGAGACAGTCCAGGGGCTGAAGGTGGAGGGAAAAGCGAGGCCTCTGATTTAGGCTAGGGAGGCAGTACAGGAGGGGGGAGACAAAGCAGAGGGGCAGCGGGAAGGGCACATTCCAGCTGGCACCCACAGGTGCTGGGAGGCTGTGTACAGACTGCAGAGCTCAGACCCAGCTGGATGGTTGAAGTGACCCAAGGCCTCTGGCCATAGCACTCACCTCACTGAACAGAATTTTGTAGTCAGACTGGGTTTGTCCTGGTTCCGCCGGTATCGGAACCACCTCTCCACCTTTCTCGTGGGCAAGTCACACTGCTTGGATAAACTGATCAGCTGCCCCTGGAAAACAGCCAAGCAAACAGGACTCACTCCCTGATGGCACAAATAGCAGAAGTGCCCAGCCTCCCTCACTAATCCCTCTTCCCACCTGGGGCAGGGGCCGGAATGAGTCCAAGGCTTGGTCAGTCTACATCTACAATCTCAGATCACAGGAATAAAGACACTATCTGTCCCATTCTGCCCAGGGCTCTTTGGGCCTCACCCACGCCTCCTGCTAACACCTGCCTGGATGGGAGTCTCCTTAGCAGAGGCTCCAATAGCACCTAACTGTGCAGTGGTTTGCAGTTGGAGTGATTGCGTTCACTTGGACGAGCGGGAGACTTCCTCTGAGAGGCCTGCTGATTTATGGCAGTTTGGTCAGTGGGAGCCCGTCCAAACTCCAGGAACCCACAATGATGTTACCAATCAATCATAAAAACCTAGTTAAGCCACTCTTAAAACTAAAATGAAAACCCCTCCCAAATCCCTCAGAACTAATATCATCCCCCTGTGCCTTCCACGCACAATCCTCCCCCTGCCCCTTCCAGTCACAATCTATCCCTGACCCTCCACACACAATCTGCCCCTTGCCCCCCCACAATCGGCCCCCTTCACATTCCCCACACAATCCCCTTGCCACTTCCACACACAATCCTCCTCCCACCCCTTTCAGTCACAATCTCCCACAGCCCCTTCCACACACAACCCTCCCCCTTCCACACACAATCCCCCCCACCCATTCCAGTCTCAATCCCTGCCATCCCTTCCAGTCACTATCCGCCCTTCCACACACAATCCTGCCTCCTGCCCCTTCCACACACAATTATAGAATCAATGAAAATTAGGGTTAGAAGAGACCTCATGAGGTCATCTAGTTCAACCCCCTGCTCAAAGCAGGACCAATCCCAACTAAATCATACCAGCCTGGTCTTTGTAAAGCCAGGCCTTAAAAAAATCTTGAAGGCTAGAGATTCCACCCCCTCCCTAGGTAACCCATTCCAGTGCTTCACCACCCTCCTAATGAAATAGTGTTTCCTAATTATGGTGACCAGATGTCCCAATTTTATAAGGACAGTCCCAATATTTGAAGCTTTTTCTTATATAGAAACCTATAACTCCCAACCCCATCCTGATTTTTCAAACTTATCAGATTTATCCAACCTAGACCTCCCCAACTGCAACTTGAGACCATTGCTTCTTGTTCCGTCATCTGCTACCACGGAAAACAGCCGAGCTCCAACCTCTTTGGAACCCCCATTCAGGTAGTTCAAGGCTGCTATCAAATCCCCCCCCCTCACTCTTCTCTTCTGCAGACTAAACAAGCCCAGTTCCCTCAGCCTCTCCTCGTAAGTCATGTGCCCCAGCCCCCAAATCATTTTCATTGCCCTCCACTGGACTCTCTCCAATTTGTCCACATCCTTTCTGTAGTGGGGGGCCCAAAACTGGACAAAAAACTCCAGGTGTGGCCTCACCAGTGCCTAACAGAGGGGAATAATCACATCCCTCGATCTGCTGGCAATACTCCTTCTAATGCAGCCCAATATGTCGTTAGCGTTCTTGGCAACAAGGGCGCACTGTTGATTCATATCCAGCTTCTTGTTCACTGTAATCCCCAGGTCCTTTTCTGCAGAAGGTCATGTTATCTAGAGCTTTAATAATTGTTGCTCTACTCTAAACTTTCTTCAATTTGTCCACATCTTTCCTGAAATGTGGTGCCCAGAACTGGATACAGTACTCCAGCTGAGGCCTTATCAGTGCTGAGTAGAGTGGAAGAATTACTTCTCATGTCCAGCTTTCCACACTCCTGACATTATATCCCAGAAAGATGTTCACTTTTTTTGCAACAGTATTGCATTGTTGACTCAAGCAGGCCTTGTCACACTGTCCATTACTTATCTAGGTAACGAATGGGTACAGCAACAGATACCTGTTCAATATCTTCATTAATGATCTGGAGGATGGCGTGGACTGCACTCTCAGCAAGTTTGCAGATGACACTAAACTGGGAGGAGTGGTAAATACGCTGGAGGGTAGGGATAGGATACAAAGGGACCTAGACAAATTAGACGATTGGGCCAAGAGAAACCTGGTGTGGTTCAACAAGGACAAGTGCAGAGTCCTGCACTTAGGATGGAAGAATCCCATGCACTGCTACAGACTAGAGACTGAATGGCTAGGTAGCAGTTCTGCAGAAAAGTACCTACAGTGGACAAGGAGCTGGATATGAGTCAACAGTGTGCCCTTGTTGCCAAGAAGGCTAACGTCATTTTGGACTGTATAAGTAGGGGCATTGCCAGCAGATCGAGGGACGTGATCATTCCCCTCTATTTGACATTGGTGAGGCCTCATCTGGAGTACTGTGTCCAGTTTTGGGCCCCACACTACAAGAAGGATGTGGGAAAATTGGAAAGAATCCAGCAGAGGGGAAAAAAACCCCACACACGATTAGGGGTCTGGAGCACATGACTTATGAGGAGAGGCTGTGGGAACTGGGATTGTTTAGTCTGCAGAAGAGAAGAGTGAGGTGGGATTTGATAGCTGCTTTCAACTACCTGAATGGGGGTTCCAAAGAGGATGGAGCTCGGCTGTTCTCAGTGGTGGCAGATGACAGAACAAGGAGCAATGGTCTCAAGTTGCAGTGGGGGAGGTCCAGATTGGATATTAGGAAACACTATTTCACCAGGAGGGTGGTGAAGCACTGGAATGGGTTACCTAGGGAGGTGGAGTCTCCTTCCTTAGAGGTTTTTTAAGGTCTGGCATGACAATGCCCTGGCTGGGATGATTTAGCTGGGATTAGGCCCTGCGTTGAGCAGGGGGTGGGACTAGATACCTCCTGAGGTCCCTTCCAACCCTGATATTCTATGAACAGCAAAATCTTTACAGAGAATTAGCATTAAACGCAGAGTGAGATGAGTCATTACATGCAGGCAGAGCTGGCCAAAATGTTTTGACTGAAACATTTTCCTGCTGAAAATGGGATTTCATCAAAACTTTTTGTGGAAGATCTCATTTTATGATAATTTTCTATAGGAAATTTTCATTTCATTCAGTTTTTGAAAACAAGGGATTTTAAAGTTTCAGATATTTGTTTTTCTTTGTCCCTGATTTTATCATAACTTCTTCTCACTGAATTCAATAAAATGAAGGATGTGCTCCCCCCCCCCCTTTTCCATTCTTTAACTTTTCAAAACGTCTTCAACCTCTGGAAAAGTTACAGAGTGAGAGAGTTCTCTTTTTGCCACTTTGTAACTTTTCTAAAATTGGAAAAGTTTTGCAGTTAAAGACTAGAAAAAGGAAACAAAATAAAAAAGTGGAAAAATAAAACAGCCTATGCCTCAAAGGTTGGGGAGGGATAGCTCAGTGGTTTGAGTATTAGCCTGCTAAACCCAGGGTTATGAGTTCAATCCTTGAGGGGGCCACTTAGGGATCTAGGACAAAAATCTGTCTGGGGATTAGTCCTACTTTGAGCAGGGGGTTGGACTAGAAGATATCCTGAGGTCCCTTCCAACCCTGATATTCTGTGATCATTAACCTTGTTGCAGAAATAGGGAGAACAAAGGGATAGAGAGAAAATTCAAAATTTGTAAACAAACATTTTATGGAAAAAAATGGGTTTTTCAGCAGTTCTACATGCAGGTGCCACCTGCAATGTACAATATGAATATGGGGATTCATAACTAGCAAATTAGAGATCAGTTCAATTAAATTGTAGCTTGCTAGTGATGAGAAGGTGCCTGGATGCAAGGGTCTGAATCTAGGAGGATGGTAGAAGGAGAAGGAACTCACCTCCTTTGGCTTCTTGCTATGAGTAGCGTAGAAGGTTTCCAGCACAGTATTGGGTGGAGCGTTCAATCTCACCTTGTCCCTCACCCCTAGCTTTCTGCCCAGGGGCCGGGCTATGAATCTGCAAGAGACCACAAGCAGGCTTCAGCCAAGTGAAGTGTCAGTCAGTCCTGTAGGTGTCATGGCATTGCTGATGCACATTTAATCTCACTGATCTGGCATAAAGACACTGTGGTCACCTGGTGATGCCACATAATGTCCAAGCACAAACATCAGGGGGGTAGCAGTGTTAGTCTGAATCTGTAAAAAGCAACAGAGGGTCCTGTGGTACCTTTAAGACTAACAGAAGTATTGGGAGCATAAGCTTTCATGGGTAAGAACCTCACTTCTTCAGATGCAAGTAATGGAAATCTCCAGAGGCAGGTATATATCAGTGTGGAGATAACGAGGTTAGTTCAATCAGGGAGGGTGAGGTGCTCTGCTAGCAGTTGAGGTGTGAACACCAAGGGAGGAGAAACTGTTTCTGTAGTTGGATAGCCATTCACAGTCTCTGTTTAATCCTGATCTGATGGTGTCAAATTTGCAGATGAACTGAAGCTCAGCAGTTTCTCTTTGGAGTCTGGTCCTGACAGAGCCAGACGTGTACCCAGAAGACTCC